CTGAGACAGGAGGATTGCAAGTTACACCCCAAGCTGGGTAATTTATCAGGAACTTGTCTCAAAAGTTTAAAAAGGGGCCAGGCTGGGGATTTAGCTCAGTGGTGCTGCACCTGCCTGGCAAGTGCAAGGTCCTCAGTTTGATTCCTAGAACAACAACAAAAAAAGTTTTAAAAAAAGGGTTAGGGATGTAGCTCAGTGGGAAAGCCCTCTGTACCATTTTAGATAATATAGTATACTACATAATATTACATAATATACCACAAAATATTCCTTTTGGGGGTGGGGCTTCAGACAGGGTCTCACTGTGTAGTCCAGACTGGCCTTAAACTCATGATAATCCTCCAAATTCAGCCTCCCGAGTGCTGGGATTAAAGGCATGTGCCACCACACCTGGCAAAAGCTTTATTTGTACTAACCAAAAATTATATACCATTGGGCTAGGGCTGTAGCTCAGTAGTTGAGTATGTGCTTAGCATGTGCGATACCATGGATTCAATCCCTAGAACCAAAACAGTAAAAATTGCTGAGCACAGTGGTAAATCCCTATAATCCTAGCACTCTGGGAGGCTGAGGCAGGAGGATGGCACACAAGCTCAAGCCTTACCTAGGCAATTTATCACAGTTCTATCTCAAAAAAATTTTTTTTGTTTATTTTTTGTTTTTTTTGTTACCAGAGATCAAACTTGGGACCTTGCCCTTGCAAGCCAGGCAGTGGAACCACTGAGCTAAATCCCTGGCCCACCTGTCTCAAAATTTTAAAAGATAATAATACAAGGCCTGAGGATGTAGCTCAGTGTGAAGGCCCTGGGTTCAATCCCAAGTACAATGAATCAATCAGTGTTATAGACACTCCAAATATCCTTCAGCAGGTATATAAAAAAATGGCTGCACATCCACATAGCGGAATATTACTCAGCAATGAAAAAGAATGAACATGAACAAATCTCCAAATAGTTATTCTGAGCAAAAGAAACCAGACTCAAGGCTAGGTGTTGTGGTGCAGCACACTGGGAGGCTGCGGTAGGGCTGAAACTTTCACTGGGAAACTTAGTGATTTAATGAGACCATGTGTCAAATTAAAACAAAGTAATAAAAAGTGTGGACATGTAGCTCAGTGTGAAGGCCCTAGAACCACACACACCAGAGAGAGAAACCAGACTAAATGAGCTACAAAAATAATGTGTGTTGTTTAATTCCATTCATATAAAATTCTGTGACCTGTGGGACCAAGCTGACCAGGTGCACTCACAGCCACTCTTCGGAAGAACTCAAGAAGCAGGAAGCCTTTCTCCAGAGGCTGGAGGTCTACAAGGAGAGGAGCAGAGACAGCAGGAAGGAGGGAAGGAGCTGCTGCAGAGATGGCTCTGTTGCTGCTGCAGAAGCAGACCTCAGCGGTAAACTTCTGAAGCACTGTCTCCGTACCGTGGGGCTGCTGTGTCCCGGGGTGAATTAACTGCTGGCTTTCCTCCTCAAGGAGCTGGCAAACCAACCCACTCTCTGTGATTTTTGGGGTTATTTGAAATACTTTCCACCTGGGCTGGGGATTTAGCTCAGTGGTTCCACTGCCTGCCTTGCAAGAGCAAGGTCCCAAGTTCAATTCCCGGTACCAAAAACAGAAAAAGAAAAGAAAAGAAAAAGAAATGCTTCCGCCATACCAGTCCTCTGTTCAAGACAATTCGCTTGAAAGGACCCAGGCAGAGGGGAGGGGTTTAGTTTGTTCAGGTGACCGTTGTACTTTCACCAGTGTCATCCTGACAAGACTTCTGTTTGGTTTTGTGTTTGGTACCAGGTACTGAACTTGAGCTCTTGCGCTTGCAAGGCAGGCGGTGAAACCACTGAGCTAAATCCCTGGCCCTGGCAAGACATTTTTAGTTGTGGTCTTTCCTTTAAAATGCCTGCCTGTGAGTCAACCCTTGAATAAAAGAAAAATATAAGCAATTAAAAAAAGAAAAAAAGGGCCGGGGATTTAGCTCAGCGGTTCGGTGGCCTGCCTTGCAAGCACAAGGACCCGAGTTCAATCCCCGGTACCAAAAAGAAAAAAAAGAAAAAAAAAATGAGGCTCTGAGTTTGATTCCCAGTATATAAAAAAAGGCGGAGCTGGGGATTTATCTCAGTGGTGGTGCACCTGCTCTGCAAGCACAAGGTCCTGAGTTCGATCCCTGGTACCAAAAAAAAAAAAAAACCTAAAAACTGCACATGAATCTATAGAGAAAGCATATCAGTAGTTGGGCAAAATAGTATGTGGAGTGGAATGGGGAAAGGGAAGAATTCCATGGGCAGAAGAAAAGCTGGGGAAGCATGTGTTAATTTTCTTGTGTTAGTGTTGATGGGTGAGCACATGAGTCAAACATTTTCAAATTGTACACTTTCTAAGTGCAGTGTGTCGATTACACTTCAATGGGCCATTTAAAAAAGAAAAACTTATGAAGTATGTATGCAGGGATAAGGGGCTGAGGTGTGGCTCATGGTATTATGTATGGGTTCCATCCCCAACAATACACACAAAAGTTGAAAGTGAAATTCCTACTCACGGCTCACCCTCCTCTCCGTCCTCTCCACAGTAGCAATCCCTGTTTGTGATTTGGTGTTTATCTTGTTTTGTTTTTATGGGGCTGGGAACTGGACCTGGGGCCTCAAAAGGCAAGGGCTAGCTGGCTATGGTCACGCACACCTGTAATCTCAGCACTCAGGAGGCGGTCACCACAAGTTTGGGGCCCTACAAAGTGAGTTCAAGGACAATCTGAACTTCACAGTGAGACCCTGTCTCACAAAAACAAAAAGAAACACACACACACACACACACACACAGA